TTAAAGTTTTCTTTATATTCGCATAAATAAAAGTTTTAACTTGGACCTTGCTAGTGTTTTATGAAAACAAAAATTTTCAGAGTAAACAGTTTAAAATTCTTCAGGTGTCACTTCAAAAGCATTCAGCTGCAAATTCACCATAAAAATTGCTTCCGCTTCTTGACGATACTTTCTTGGAATCCTTCAACTGTTATCGGAAGCAATTCCGTTTCTTTTGGTGCTTCTTTTATAGCAGTTAAGTTACTGCATATCTTAATTAATTTTTTTACTTAATTTAGTGCTTCATAAGTTAATTTTTATAAATGAAATTGGATTCCGAAATTTTTTAACGTTACTTTAATAAACTCAATATTTAATGCTTTTGTTTCTGCAACTACGTAATTCATAACAGATTTTGCATAAACAGAATATTATATGGTCTGCATTAAATGTATAAAGGATCGATATTTATTCTTGATGTCTGTGAATTTACTTCAGATATGGCGGTTTAGGGCTGTCAATAAACTCGTCCGATTTTTAAATAATTTAAATGTTTAATAAGAAACATCAATAATTCCTACACACTGTGAAATTATTACATTCGTAGATGGAAACAGATGAGACTGTTTACAAATGTATATAAATCTGCATCTTATATCGATTCACGATAATTTCATCTTAATTGCGTCATGGTGTTAATGACGGAATCGTTTGTCTTCTATCACCAGAAAAAAAAATCTGATGTGTACATCACATGACTTCCTCGTACGGAATATTAAATTATACACATTTTTTCTTGCATTTCATTTAAACATTTTGCATTGAATTAAATCTACTTCGCCGACAGCACATAAACCACAATAGAATAAATGCATTCTTTAAAATTCACTCTAGTATTTGTTTACTATAGCGACACTCTGGCGCTAGATTCACTTAACAGTATTATATTTTGTTCATATTATAACTCATAATGCACAAAATTTATATCATTTAAAGAATAGAATTATCTAATCGTTCCCACATGTTCTATTCAAATACTATAATAAAGCTAGAAGATGATATAAAAAGAATTAAGCGAACAAACAAAAAAGAAACAGTTTTTTTCACAGACGATTGAGTATTTCTCATTCAATTAATTCAGTTCTCACTTCGCGAGAAGGCAAAAATACATAAAATTCAAAATATCTATATTAAAAATTACGAAGTAAATCTTAAACACTTATTTCCTCGAAAACATTCCAGAAAGGATTAAGCCTGATTTAATTGGCGATAATAAATGAAGGCGTTATCTTTGTTGTTGCGAAGCTAAGTTTCTCTAGATTGGCAACAAATCTACTAGTCTGTGGTTTCAAATGTAAACAATCAATGGCCGCCATCAAAAAAAAAAATGCTTAGCGGCACTTAAACAACTTTAAAATTGTTGATAGTTCTAAAAATATTGCATACAGATTTACTAAAGGCATAAAAACCTGAACCGGAATATAAAAACAACATAATTCTATCATTTTTAAAGCAAAAAATGTACAATTTACAAACATATAAGAGTAAGGAAACTGAGATCACTGAGCCGGGTAACAGAGTGGATATATATATAAATATATTTAAATACGTTTGGTGCGGCCTATTGCAACCAAAATACGAGGTGCACATGTACATGTTATAGCAGTCCTATGTACAAAATTTCAACGTTCTGAGGCTACTCGTTTGTGAGTCATGCGAGATACGTAGGTACATACGTTCGTACAGACGCCACGAAAAATTCTCTTCAGAATTAATATATAAGCAGTTTTATAATTTTTTTGGAGGAAACGAGTCTTTTATCTATCCTTACGTATAGATATCACGCAAAAACATCGTTAAATTGTATTCGATAGCGGTCAAAATGGATATTTTCGTCGAAATATACTGCCTGAAACTTTTTGCGATTACAATACTTCCTTACTTCGTACAAGAAAGTAAAAAGAGTACTTTCACACATGTTGCAGTATCATTTGACTGTTCTGAACGATGCCATTCCACAAAGGTAAAAGATAAAAATTAAAAATTGTGAATTACAAATAAAAACAATTAATAATAAGATTTAAAACTTCAGTTAAAGTACGCTTATCTTTCCGTACATTCTTCTATTTTATAGAACAAAAAATGGCTTCTTTTCATTCTTGCATTTTCCGTGCATTTGATATTTTTTCATCTGATTCTGTTTTGCAACAACTGAACTAATTAGAAATTGTTGATGCTCTTAAGTTGTGAGGCTTCCTTAATTTAAGTAACGTTAAGTATTAGGTAAGTTTAATACGGGAATACTAATTAATTTATGTTTTGAATGTATACTGTCTCTTCTGCCTTTCCGTTTACCGCCAGAATGCGAATGAGTTTGCGTGTATTTAAAATGAGATTTTGAAATTGTTAAATTAGAGCGTGTTCTGCCTCTTCAAGGTCACGTTACTAGGTTTTTCTATTCCAAGATAAGACTTCCAGTCACTATTTTGCATTGTTCATGCCGTTAGTTAAATTCACGCATGTGAAGTCTGAGCAAACTTTGCATTTAATTACTCTGTGTAGCTTTTGGCTATTAGTTATTTAAATATATCTTTACACATGAATTTCTACTCCCAGTTTCTCGCCATAAATGCCTGCAGACTTGTAAGCACCAAGTGTGCTTCCTGTTTATCTTATTAAGTTTAAAATAAAGGCTCTTTTACACCCTTTTGTTATATTTCAGCCACGTCTCAAGTTTCTGTTCTACTTCAGACATACCGATAAATCATTTAATCTTCTACGAAACGTTTAGTCACAATCTCTTTGAATTTAAGTTACTTCTTCTTGCACTATTAGAAATTCTAACTCATGCCTTTAAGAATATTAAACCTAAATAAGGAAACCTAGAGAAGCTACAGCATTTGGATTATTGTATGTGGATAGAACGATGTAAATTTTAAAATTTCGCATTGAAGAACGCAATGAGGAGAAGGAAAATCTATAAGTCATTCACTGCTCAGGGCTGTTAGCAGTTTTATCACGCTATAAGGTATTTCTTAACGAGCCTTCGTGGTGTAGTCGTCTGCATGCTCAGCGCGTAATTGAGAGGTCCTCGGTTCGATTCCTGGCGAAGGCGTTGCTATTTTTTCATCTTGCCTGCTTCCAATTAACCTAATGTCTCTACAACGTATTCACACTCTTTTCCAATAAAATTACTCAAACGTTTCTATCATCTACATGTCATATCAATAGCTATAGGAATTTTTGAAGCATACTGAAGTGCTATAATACAAAATTTATATGTCGTCGGTTTTTTCATAATTAACAGTTTTCTTGGCTTTGTTTGTTTCTTTTTTTTACATATATGCTCTGTAGCTGATTATAGAATTTTTATTTATATCTTTTTAGAACAACATCAGTGTTGATTCTTTTATCAGTTGCGAAAGAACACATTATAGTAATGCTCTAAAAATGCAAAAGGAATAATATCTAATTTGCCAAAGGACATTTGTCGGAAAGTTATTTATTTTGTTTTATTTGACATATTTACCCTAGTATGAGTATTCCTCTATACGAGTATTTTTATCTGTATTTTGATATGCAGTATGAATATGATTGCTAATATCTTCACGTCTACCAGTTACAACTTCCAAATTAAATTCTCCATGTAAACGAATTTAGAATAATTTATAAAAAAAAAAAAAAAGATTTATCTCTGGAATATGGTAATATTAATTCTTCACGTGTACGTACAATTAAAATCGAACTCAAATTTAAAATATGACACACTTTTGTGTATACATTTGCTACAAGCAAGAGCATTTATTTTTACGTGTGAGTTTTTGGTATTTTAGTTCTGATCATCTGAAACAATTAATAAAGAATATTAATGAAACACTACTCAAGCTGAATATTTTCATATTTCTTATTGGGAATGAGCATTACCCATATACAGGAAATGAGTATCACAAATTAAAATTAAATGAAAAGCATTGATTCAAGTTTTACAAATTAACCTCTTAAGCATTATCATTAAAGCGTTTCCATTACTATATGGAATCAGTCTTTCAAAATTGCTTTTTCCATGATTTTAAAATTCAATATTCCGCTAACATTGTTTTGTTTGAAAACAAAACATTCAATTTTTATGAAATCTTCATAAAGAAGAGCATGAAACCAAGAATTTATTGTGTAAACACTTAAAAATACTTCTTCCATTCGTCATTGTAGCGTAGCCTAGCACATCTAACTCTCAAATTTAAACAGTTGGATTCAACTTCCCTTGTTTGCTTTGTTTTCCAGGATTTTCGATTCCAGAAATTCTAATGACCATATAATCTAATTTAAAGTTCTTAAACATTAAACACAGTTTTCTATGCAGATTTTTGACGAACGCATAAAAGGATCAAAGCTTATATACAGCCAAGAAAAAGAAAAAAAAATGTATAATTCGTATACATTGAATAAATAATGCTTAAAGAATACGTAAATGAATAAAATTGATTTTACTTGTACGACTTAAATAATATTAAACTGAGTTCGAGAAACTCCTCAAAATGTTCGCCGTCATTCATTAGGCAAAATAATACTCCCTCCATACCATTTTCCCATTCTCACAGTTTGCCACCATCAGTTGTGGCAAGTGTCATATGAAATTTTGAAAGCAGACCTTTCTCGTCTAGTTGTCGGAATCCCATAAGTTAATATTTTTAGATGGTTTCATAAAAAGAATTCCTTATGGGTAACATGAGATGATCTTGATGTCGAAGCTACTGGTTCTTTCACCAGATCGCGTTATCATGGAACTTTACCTTCATATGCTGTAGGTAATTTCTAATTTATAGAACGTTAATAATTCCCCCAGAAAATCTGAATGCAGTTCAAGATAGAAATCTAGCGTTAATGCCTTTTCCTCACGATTAGAAGTTAGATACAGGGCTACTTAATACCTTCATTTCTTGCAAGTCACTCAAACCATATTAATCATACGCAAAATGAAAATCTTCTTTAGTAAAATTTTAACAGTTTTTTATTTCTTTCAGGTGGATGACAGTGAGACTATTGACCATGGCGTAACTGTTTACGGTGACAATTTAGAGGTTACTTCAAAAACTTTGCAATTACCGGTGACAGAGACTCTTTTGAGTAAAGGCAAAGTTGCCATAAAATGTGAAGCATCTTTCTACGGTAGAGTAGCCATGATCAGTCGAGACATCACTATAATAGGTAAATATTTCACGGCTTTCCATGTATACTTTTTAGATCTTATATATATATATATAAGATATATATAAAGAAGAAAATTTTTGTGTTTGTCCTCTAATAACACAATCACTACTACAGATATCGTCACCAAACTTTCTACGATTCTTTTCTGGTTCCTGGAAAAGGCCAACGTCCACTTTTTTCCAAAAACAATTAGCTAAAATCAGAGAGATTAATTAAAAACTCGGAAAAACGATAATTTGCGGCCTCATTTTTCCGAGTGGCAACAGTCTCGCAAGCTGGAGATGAAAATCTGCTTTATTTCGAAAGTTGTTGCCACTGCTCGCTTTCATATCCTAGAGTTTGTTATCGGAGATAGGAGATCATCATTCGTTAAGTGGTGTTCGACCCGAAGGCTTTTACCACTACATGTTTATCATTCTCCTAAAGACCTGTAAAAGTTTGTTAAATTCCATAAAAATGGAAAATTCGTGGCGGCAATCGGCCACGAATGAAATCTTCGTTGAATAAGCAATAATAGCATTAGATATCGTCAAGCATAACTTTAGCATATCTTTTCTCAATGGCATATATCGCAGATTTGGCACAGTATCGTACAGTAAAAATAGAAAATAATATATACAAGTTCCAGAAATTTTTGTTCTTTCGTGTGAGGCGAAAGTACCTATATCTTAATACTGATAGGAAGTCACGTGATATACGAATTTAATGATGATAAAGTCAGTAGCCTTGGTACCGGGCAAAGTCCATAGTAAGTTGAAAATAATAGTAAAGATGAAACAAAATCTAGATTAAATAGTTTTTTTTTTTTTTTTTACAAATGGCGGGCTCTTGCCTATAACGGCATTGGCCACTACTAAGGCCAAAAGTGGTAACCATTTTATTATGGAGGCACCTAATAGGCGGCCACCGTTACCTCCTATGAAGGCACAGACAATTTTATATCCATGCCTTCTTCGGTATTCGAACCCGGGCCCTTTGGTATCGCAGTCAGACTCCCCTAACTACTATACCGTCTGGGCGACCTAGATTAAATAGTTGAAAATAATAAAATATATACAAGAACTACCATCTAACATTATGATGTATAGTTCTGGGCCGTTTATGCGGCTGTTCGTTTAGATAGTCGTACCCCCCCTATGTTTTTAATAACTTCGCGAGTGGAGAAATCACATTTTTCGTAGAATTTGAATGTAATCTTTAGTAATTCGGCATCTAATGGTAAAATATTTAGAAAATTATGGATGACAGTGTTCCTAACGAACTACGGAGAGTTTGATAGGAATCTGAGAGTTTTACTCTGAAAACTTTGAAGCTCTGCTCTGCTTGAACGTGCCGGGTCGGATTGCCTGTAGATAGTGTTCTTTTATTGTTAATATTTAACTTGGAATATTTGCACATTAAAGGGTAAATGCTCATTAAGGTACGTTGTGCTTTGTCTCTGATATATTTAACATGAAATTTGGAAGTTAAGTTAATTTGGAACATGATTAGCATTTTTAGATTCAATTTTTCTGTCGGATACGGACGAAGCTTTCATTACACGTGACATGGCCAAAGGCCAGTCTGAGAAATAGACAGCCATTTGCAATACAACCCAGTTTATGTCAACAAAACCTGAAATGCAGAACTATTTATGATAACTTTGGGGTTTGGTTGGTCAGCTTAAGTTCAGCTGAAAAAAGTAACCAAACTTAGCTTTATTTTGTTTTTATCATTTTCCATGAAACTTAGCCATTAATCATATAACTCTTAAAAGCTATTTCTTTCATTAAAATGATTATTGATGCATAATTAGAAATTTTTATAAAGGTTATATAAAGGTTTTTATGAAGGATGGTTATTGATTTAAACACAGTGATTAATTTCCGTGATTTGGTGATTTTAATACTACCACCTTTTTGTTACTTTTTTGTCTCACATTTTACCAGCTTGGCATTGACACTACTCAGAGTCATATATAGCTCGATCTATCAGCTGGAATGGCAATAAATTTGACATAGAAATAAAATGCAATATACAAGAAAAAATGACCCCAATAAATTTTTTGTAATAAATACTTATATGACTTATAAAAAATCTCAGCTGTCCGAATTTTGAATTTCCAGGTAGGCTAGTCTTAGTTAGTCAGGATGGTAGAAGTTCTGTAATCCTGTTTTTCAAATATTTTTAGACCCTATTTGTTATTCGAAACTTCCGAACCCGAAATATATCAAGGAAATGTAATTTTACTATCATTAATGCTTTGTATAACTGAAATTTAATCAATAATTCAAATATTCAATGTAAAATTTGATGTAAAATTTAAGCAACATTTTGGGTAACACTCTACGTATCCATGTTTTGATCGAATAAATTTAAGTCTGAGAATTAGCAATCTAATTTATTCCACTAGAGGGCGTTAGTTAATTTCTTTCCTATAACGTTTCCTCTCCATCATCTTCCAAAGCTGAGAGAATTCAGATATGATTGATTAGGTATTCAAATGTGGTGGTACCTAAATTTTCATAAGAAAATGATATCAAAAATAAAAAGGAATTGTTTTGTTATTTTTTAATTGAACTTTTTAATATACCTTTTACTTAGCTCTCTAAATGAGGTAGTATATGAATTTTCACAAGAATCTTAAGACAAAATAAAAAAGAACGTTTTTAATTATTTTTCATTAAACTTTATTTAATATATCGTTTACTGAGCTCTCTTCTTATCTAATACCTATCCCATATTATACGTATTTTTTAACAAAATTAGAAGACTATATTGGTGCAAAATGAGCTGATAGAAGTTCTTAATAATGTTAAAACAAAGCTACGCGCAAATTTTCGTTCATATCATTTCCATAAAAGTGTTTTCCAAAAAGAAGTTTCATGCCTGAAAACTTATACAATCAGTCAACCATCTATCAAAACATGCATGCTGGTAAAATGGCTACAATGCATCGCTTTCCAAAATTAACACGAGGAACACAAATAGCATAATACAAGATGGCGCATAAGGTGCTTACCAGCCTGATTTGGCAGCTCTGCTAAAATGCGCATGGTGCCCATGATTGTCATACCTGTATCCGTGGAGAACTAGGAGTGAGGTAATTACTATACTGCAGATAGCTGGCTGGTGCAGCTGCGGATTGCGGCAATGGAAGCCCTCATTAAAACAAGTTCTGTAACAGACGCTCAAAGGGTATTGCAGTGAAGATCGGAAGAATTATAAGCAGGATAGTTGGAAGATACAGATGGGTTCAATAGGGTGACACAGTGGCAAGAACAGGTATAGCTATACTCTGACATTATTTCGCTAAGCATATTAAAGCCATCAATTTTTCAAAGTTCACGATGTCTGTATTGTACGTATCACACACTGTTGTAACGGCGAAATAGTATACTGTTATTTTACAATCACACAAAGTTACTATAAGCGTTCGCGATCTATGTATGGTTATTCAAAGATACAATACAATATGCGCCAACGTATCTATTTAAATAAAGTATTGGGTCATCTGAAAAGTTTTCCATTTTTGCTTTGATGAATGAACACAAGATTAAAAAAACATAAGAATTTTTTTTCAATTACATAAACACCAGTTTGTTCTATGCCTCTCTCCGGCAACTGAAAAATACCTTTTTGAAAAAAATCATTAGGTTTATTCATAAAGGGGTTACTGGGGTGCTGTTTGATAGTACCCGAAGTAGTGAACTACAGACTGAACGCAGAATTTTGAAATAACCTGAAGAGAGGAAAATTCTAAAAGTCTAGGTCTAGCGAAAACGCAGGGGAGGATATGATACAATGCAGAGCCGTACTCTAAGTCTTCGTCTGAAATTTATCAAACTGTAAGACCGAGCGTCGTCGTGATGTTAGACAATACCTCGATGATTGGCATTTTTTAGTGTTTTACTCCGACGTCTCCTTTTAAAACTGTTATTTCTGAACAATACTTTTCCGAATTTATTATCTGATTTGGTGGCAACAATTTATAGGTTATAACTCCTTTATATTTTCGCTATACACAAGTCATTACGTTTTGGAGAATGCAGCTATCCTCTCGATATTTATTAATGAGGTTCTCTAGATTTACCCCATGATCTCTTTCTTGTGACATTATAGTTTAATATTCACCTCTCATCTTCAGCAATGAGCCGTTTCAAAAATTTAGCTTTCTAGAATTGGATAATCCAGTATTACATAAGCTTGAGGGAAATTTGGTACAGATATGCTACAGCTTTAGAGTTCGCAAAGAATTTGAAAACAAAAACAAGAAATTTAAAACCTGCAGTATGCAAATTGAGAAAAGAAAATTCAAACACTATATAACAGAACCCCCCCTCCACACACACACAAAAAAAGAAAGAACGAGTCCATCCCGGACAGCCAAACAACTTCCACAATTAGCCCTTCTCCAATAGGCGAAGTTGTTGAATTGTGTTCAGATTAAAACTTCCACTCATGAAAAAACATTTTGAGTTACGTAGAGCCTCAAAAGTACTTTAATGGCCCACCTTAGTGTGTAGGAGATGCAGAAATCTAGATGGCTCGTCCATTTTTCTTTCCGAAGAAATCCTGTTGTCGCTGTTGCTTATCCTCGAAAGATCTGACATTTTTCAGATCAGCTACAAAAGGTTGTTGACCACCAAAAAATAAATAACACTAAGGGGATCGGATGATAAGTTCCCTTTAGAAAGTCCGATGCAATCCAGTATGTGATCCGGTGAAGCTGGATGGTCACAGCATTTTTAACACGCGGGGTGGATTTTTCTGCCACTATCAGAAGAAAGACATTTAAGGTGACCACTTGTTAGTCTAGGCAGAGCAGTCTGGGAGCCACAGTCACATTTGATTTCCAGCAGAAATCCAGGGGATGTTCATGTGCAGCATTGGTGCGTAGGTGGAATACGCCATATTATATTTAGAGCTTTCATTTGAGTAAAGCTCTGGTAAGTAAGCGAAGAGCCAGTGACCGTTTCATTTTCACTACCCTCTTTGGCCAGTCTATCAGCAACCTT